TTTCTCTTAAACAAAAAGTATTTCCACTGAAAATACAGAGAAAATGTATTTCTGCAACATACAGAAGCAGTGAAATAGGACACTTCAGCTTCATAGAAACAGGCAATGTGAAAATAGTCTGAATTCTAACAATAACTATAGAATGTTAACAGTTGTTACCTTTACTTCTCAAAAACCCCCAACCTGCTCATTTTAGTTTAGAATTCCCAGGCTTCTATCCTGCAAGCCTCAAGAAAAACCCAATCCATCCTCTTCCAGATTTATTAGTATTACTATGTAGACAAAGTCCCTGGCTGTACAGAAAATGACAATGTAACCTATTATTTTCAGGATAAACCAGTTTTCAATCTAATTACCACATTCTTGTAAATATTCTATAAGTTACTAAATAATAGGGCTCACTATCATGGTCTGCATCTCACAAATGGCCCTGCAGAGAAAAGGCAAACAGAGGCCCATTGATTCCCATGCACAGAGCCCAAAAGGCCACTCCAGCAGCCTCTTTGCAAGACCAAGACCATAGAGAGACCTACAATTGCTGAATTATACTCACCACCACACCATCAAATATGCAAACTGAAGGGGTTTACATAAAATCCACTTGATCATTACAATTGCTGGTCTTTCTTTACTTTGTATTTTGGTTCCTCTCCTTTTCCACATTAGCCAAGAAATCTACTTTGTCTCCTTTGGCTTGCAGTCAACTTTGCCCTCTTGTTCTGTAGCTTGCAGATATTGGAAAATACCTACATTTGTTAAAAAACAACCTGAATCTAAGAGAAACAGTGAAGCCAATTCTAGCTGGTTTAGTATTTCTAAAAACAATGCTATGTCAAAATTCATATTCCTAGCTACATCTGAGTTGACAGTGTCCCTGTCAGAAAACAAATCTCTTTGTAGCATTGCTAATCTCCTTCCAAGTGCCACTCCAGCCTCAGCCCAGTTCTGACTCAAAAAAAAAATAGCCGGATGATAACAGTTACGTAAAAACCCGCAAAAATGTGTTAATAATAAATAAGCCAAAAGGCTTATAAAACGAAGAGCCAAATGGATACATGAGATAGAAATCACATTTTTTCCCCCCATAAATATGATTTCAGTGCAAAAGCCTCTGTTGGTAAGCGTGCCAACCTGAAAAATCAAGATTAAACACACAGAATGTTTCCATGCAAGGTTTCAAATGTGTTTTGATGCATTTCTGGGGGTGAAACCACCATCTCTGCTCCCTGAGAGATTCAGCAGAAATCACCCATGCTATTCCTCTTGGAACAAACATACGGACAGCAAAGGGTTAACTCCTGCTCTTGAAGCATCAGCCTGGCTGGGGTTGGAGCTCTCTGCTTCCTCTCTTGGAGGGGTCAAATGAACTCACAATAGTTGATTCATAGCCCAGTGTGGAGCTGAAGGACAGAGGTCAGACAGGTTGAATTGCCTGTAATTTGCACAACTGCTCCCATGCTAGCCCTGGACCCACGTCAGCATTCAGCAGCCAGAGCCCCCAGGATCTCTGTTTGTGGTGCACTGATAACGCCCTGTGCAGGGCCAGAGGTGCATTTCTGTCCAGCTTTTCCTGCAATTATCATGATGTTGCTCAGAGCTTGAGAATGACACAGTCATCTACTTAACTTCTGCTAAAAGCAACCTGTCTCCCTCAAAATGAAGGCCACTGTGTAACCCCTTAGGCGGGCCAAAGCTCATCTGGAGACAGGCAGCATGCCTGGCATGGCAGGGCACACTTATACATCCAAGATAAGCACTTGCATGATCAGACCATGCCTGACATTTGCAATGGGAAAGATGAACAGAAAGCACCAAGGGAAAGCACTTCGATCCTTTTGCATATTCCAAGATAAAACTCTAACTTGGATATGAAGTGGGATCTACTGAAGGGTCTTGAGAGATTCATTAATATATGAAAAATCATAGAACTACAGAATGGTTTGGGTTGGAAAGGACCTTAAAAATCATCCAGTCCCAACCCCCTGCCATGGGCAGGGACCTTCCACTATCCCAGAGCGCTCCAAGCTCTGTCCAGCCTGGCCTTGGATACTTGTTCCCTGCCCTAACAGGAACCCAGGCTAAAAGCCTGATTCACAGCTCCTTAAAGAGGTGACATGCACTAGAAAATCTTACCCAACATTGATGTTACAGGAACAGATCGTGAATTATACATCTTGGAGGTCACAGATTACAACAGACTATGGATCATCTGACTATCATAAACTCATTTTTCAGTATTCTACATATTAAAATGTAGAACGAAAGGAGAAAGGAATGTCGAGGTTTGGTGTATGTAAAGCTGATCCTTCCTCATATGTTTTAATTTCTGTTCTGTAAATGTGGAGCTGAATAGCTGCAGGATAGCTGGTTTGGCAAACTTATAAACCTGAAAGCTACAGATTTGTTCTAAGGCATCTGAGTTATCCTTAAAAACAAAATGGAAGAAGAATTTTGGGGATGCAATTTCAAATATTCAGATAAGGGTGAATATTCATGGATTAACTATCTTGTTGGACTGCTGTTGGAGGTCCAGCCACTGCCAAGCATTGAGGGACCTGACTCTCTGTGAAAGCAAAGATTACATTCCTTCAAAAAACTGGGCTTTGATGTTGCTAAAGGAGAGAGTTTACTGCACAGAAATTTTCTGCAGTTTCTCAAAAATGTTGAAATTTTGGAATCATCTAACCTCTGAAGTTTGCTCTAAACCAAATTGCATGGCATTTTTGGATATAGGGCCTCTGGTTTGCCTGATATAATTATGTAGCTCAACTATCTCTGAAGAAATATTGTAATGTAACTCTTTTATTATATAAGAAAATAGGCAGCAGACACATGTAATCATAAAAAGATTGAGCAGGCTCATTTCCTGAAGTTTATTTCCTTTTCGTAACAAATATTTACTGTCAAATGTTTATTGCTTTTACATTTGGATTTTTTTAATACTTTATTGAATTAAAAATACCACATTACCATTGGCTAGAAGAGGAGACAGCTGTATTTGCCAATAATTTCTACAGCTAATGCCAGTGACTAGTGCCAATTTTTTTTTTTGTTCATATTTTTGTAGACAGCTTTGAGACTTATGATACAAGTATTCTGCAGATGAGGCCTGAGGAACACAAAGGTGAAAAGAACACAAATTTCAGAGGTTTAAAAATCAAAAGTGATCATTTCCTCTAAAGAATTTCCTTTTCTTGCCATCAAACACCAATTCAAAGTAGTATAAAGGATGTAAATATTTGCTTAAATTAACAGCATATGACATAACTGATCCAGAGCTTCACAGGGTGAATGCTAATTCTTAATGTACATCTGCAACAGAAATAATTCTAAATAAGGGCTGCAAACTGGTTTTAATCTGCTGAAGTTCTACCAGGCTTTTCATTAGGAAGCACTAATGTCCTCACAAAATATGCTTCTTTTTCAGGAGAAAGGAGAGGCAGAAAAAGAGCACATTTTTCATTGTGTCAAATAAAGTGCCAAATAATTAGATTGGTGAAAAATCTTGGGAGACACAAACACCTGCTGTCTGTAGCTTGCAGAGAATGGTGCCTTTTGGCACATTATTCTGGCAAATAATGAGTCTGAAGCAATTCCAGACTGGACATGCAACTCCTGTGTGAAAAATGCTGACCACCTACCAGCGGGCTGACATTCTCATCAGGCACTGGAATATCCCGAAACAAAATGTTTTTTTATCACAACAAGAGAAATAGCAAAAACCTCTTCCAAGAGCAGTCCAGCTGGGTGACACCCACACAAGTGGAACAACTTGAGTCATGCTGGGTAGATCTGAGGTTTTCTTTACAGACCTATATTCTAATACTTTGCTTCCAGTACAGTAGTCCTGGTGGTCTGCAATTTCTTGATGGAGCTGGGAAATACAACCTATCCAGATTTTTTTCCTATTGTTTTATATTAGCTAGTTTCCAAGTCCAAAATAAATAAAACAGCTAATGTGAAACTAAGAGCATTTTCCCAGGACTTGCACGTGTTCAACAGTTTCAGTAATTTGGCACTTAGAAACCTCAGTTACCTCTGATTATTTTTTTTTTTCCTTAACACATTGGGATTTAAGATCCCAATCTTGTTCAAAATGGGAATGAGGGAGAACAAAAAAATACAAATGGCCAGTTATTAAAATCAAGAAGCCTGTCTGCTTCTTTCCTGTCAGTACAGGAGGGGATGCTGCCAGCAGGTGCTGGTGACCCAACACAGCTTCATGATTTTTTTTTTTGTATCTCCAAGGCCACACCAGAAGCAGGCACTACCCTGCTCCTTGTCTAAAGCAGGGGATAAGATCTGCTCAGAATTAAAAGATCTGATCATATGTAAGACCTCAGGAAAATTTTAGCTGTCTAAATTCCAGAGGACGAATCCAACAGCCTCATCTCAAATACAACCTACTTCTAGACAGCAACAATCAGCTTTTCCATTTTGCCAACCAGCCATGATACAAGCCACGCTGCACTCAAATCTTGATTAAACATCGTGTTGCTTAGAAAACACACAGGATTCTGCACAGAATTCTGTAAGGCCTCATGAAACAAGCAGACATCAATATTTCTTCAGCACAGAGTTAAGAGGCAGCTCCTAAGAACACTGCAGTGGTCTGAAGGTGAAGTCTGTGAAACACCCAGCCAGCCATCTAAGCTGACTCTGTGGAAGTAGCCAAACACTCTTGTGAGGAGAGACTTTCACCTCAGCTGAACTTCCAGGAAAACAATCTCTACAGAGCATTTCAGCAAAACAATATCAAAAGAGAACAAAGCGCAAATACCAGTTTTTCTGAGTCTGCTCTGGGAGATTACCAAGGGCAGTGCGGGGAAAGAAGGGTGAGGCCTAAGCAGGAGCTGCCGACACGGAGCTCAAGGCCGCTTGATTTTCCACCAGCAGCGCTGAAACTGAGGGAAGTACAGACTCCTTTTCTCTTCCCCTGGGCTTGGCAGCTTTATTCCCACTTCCCACTTTGTTTCCAGCTACAACCCACGAGTTCTTACCTCCATATCTTTACAGAAGGTGGCGTTGGTGCCGAAAAGGATCTGGCACTGCTCGTCGGCGCTGTAGTGCATGCCCGGCAGCTTGTGAGGGAGCCGCACGGAATATTGGCTCCGGGGGTCTGTCACCAGCAGACAGGTGCTCACCTTGGACCTGGACAAAGGAAAAACACCTTTAGGGAAAGCACCTCTGAACTGCAGTGTTAGATCACTGCTACAGAGCCGCTGTCCTGCCTTTAACAGGGACTGTGAAACAGTGGGCTTTCCCTGCAAGTCTTCTAAGTCATTGAGAACTATGGATAGAAAGGTCCTTGGGAATTCCTGCATGACCCCAGGCCTCAAGGCAGGACAGATGACATTCCAACATTCTGGGTTAAACATTTGTCTAAACTGTTGCTAGAAATCTGACAGACTCAATTCAGCCCTCAGGCAATCCAGCCCAAAGCTTCACTAGCCTTGAAGTAACTGCTAGAAAGTCTCTTCCATCATGTCTCACCTCAATCCCCGCAGCTGAATTTCGAGCCCTGGACATTTTTTCTTATCCATCACAGACATAAAGGGAAGATTTTTCCCTTTGCCTTCACAACAATCTTTTACAAATTGGAATATCACTGTCACACGAGGACCCAGACTCACCAGATGAGTTCAGATGCAACTTCTTTTTTCTAATTCATGCCTTTAATGTGGCAGTAAATATCCCATTTTCTTTCATTATTTTCCTTTCTTTCCCACCTCTAACCTCCAGAGCAGGAAATTTTCCATGCTGAACCCACTCCTTGCACAAAGCACTGTGCCAGGCACTGTTTGTCAGAGAGCTGCACTGTAGGTTTAAGATTAGAAGTGCAGAGTTCAGACAATTCCATTGCTTCCTGTAGTACATGAGCTTTAACAAGCAGCAGGACAGAAATCCTTCCTGAACAATTCAATATGATGAGCTGAAACTTGAATGCAGTGGGAAAGAAGTTTATAGTGAACCATTTCAGACCAACACTCACTGAGGAGTGACAAAACACATCAGAATTATCTCCAGGCAAATTCAAATTCCAATAAAATAAAAGCTATTTAATAACACAACAGTAAAAACCATAGCATAAAGCTGCGACATCTTTAAGCAGAGATTTCTGCAGGCCACCTACACACAGATTTCTGTCATTGCAAAATTTGAAGGGCATTTTCTGTAAAAAGAAGGTGATAGGGGATTTTTTCAAAAGATGTTATCAGCACATTGACAACTGCACGTAATTCTTCTGCCTCTCTTCAACCTTTCAAGGGGCTATTGCAATGGAGACATTCAAATTTGCTAATGACACATGTACACTTCTTTAAAAAGAAAATTATTAATACTTTCATTTTAAAGCAACAAAGTGGATTCTTGCCTGGTAGGATTTTTGACACTCAGCACAACCCTTACTTTAGGAAGTTCTCGAGGTCGTCTCGGCTGCATGAAGACCAGGAAAGGTCACTTGGGTTCCTGCCCTTCACCCATTCACCAGACATAATGTGAGACCTCCCAGCACAGGGCTGATGATCGTCATCATGGCTCATTCCCATGCTGTTGGATTAGAACAATATAAGAGAAAAAACCTATCAATTTATGATGTGGGTTTCTCATTTCCCACTGCCTTTAGCGATGACATTCTCAGCAATTAACAGTTGGACAACAGGCTGCAAATACAACACACAATCAGTCATGTACTGCCCATGACACCTGTTAAATAAGTGAACTAGAGGTTCCTTTAATTTATCCATTGCCTTAATTTCACAAAGTGATTGGTATTTGTGTGTTTGAAACTTTTAAATGTGCATCTTATGGACTTTCCTTCCAGGGTTTATGAGAAGTGAACCTGCAGAAGTGAAGTAGCTCAGAGAAGGGGTATCTGCTGGAATATTTACTGAAAATTTTGGATTGCTTTCCCAAATCTAGTGGCTAGGATCCCTTCAATTACACTGAGAGAATGAGCTAGAGATGGGTCTACTTTGTTCTTGTATCAGTGTGAATTTGGAATACACTGTTAGGAAAAACATTTTTCTAAATTAGTGGTACTGTATCTAACTTTGAGGCTGATCCTTTTTTGAGTGGTGGGTTGGATCAGATGATCTTCAGCAGCCCTTCCAACCTAAATTAGCCTCTGACTCTGTAAAAGCAGTGCTTAGACTGGAGCCTGAGGCAAAGCCAAGCCCCATTTCTGCAAGTACTGTCCAAACAAGCACCAAGCCCCATGCCCATCTCAGCAAGGACAGAATGTGACCTACTCAGCAAAACAAACCATCTAAATGAACAGCAGATTGTGTTGTATAAACACATAGAAGAATTCAAACACATTCAGTGAGGATTTCCAAAAGTACTCAGAAACAGAAAAGTGTTACTTCAACCTCCATCCAACTTCCCTCTCAGGACCTATCATTAGGACCCTATCATTAGGGGAGTCTTCACCATAGGGCTGCTACAGCAGGTCCAGGTTCAAAATAAATCCCTGTTGCCACTATAGCAATGTGAGACTCCTCTGCTGCAGGTAAAACTTTGTGAACATGGAAAAATGGTGTGCCCAAGATCACCTGCTACACTCGGTCCTACATTAAGTCCACCACACCAACCTGCCTGGCAGTGAAATTGAGTCAAGGATTTTCCATCCTACTTCAAAAAGAAAATTAAAATCCTTTTTCAGAATCATACAGAGTAATAACTCTTTGAAATAGTAACATTTCTCCTTGAGTTCCACGGTGAAATGGAAGAAAGGTGCCTTCTATGGCCAGTGTCACTCCAGTGTCACTTTCTAGCAAAACATCACCAATTTGGGGGTGAAAACACAGAATTCACAGGGTCTCTAGCTGGCTGGCTGGAGCAAGGCAGGAGCAGTCCCTTTAAATATGCACTGTTTAATCCATGCTATTTCCTGACAAATCTGAGGCTCCTGTTTGCTTTCTGACTGTGCTCTTGGCTTTGCTTCTCCCCAGTCGTGGGACTCAACTGTTCAGAGCCCAAACACGACATCCATTTCTACTTGCAATGAACCAAAACCCACTTCAGCACTTTGATAATTATGGCTTAGATTAAACCACCATCTCTGCTATTTTTAGCTTATAGTGAAGATTATATGGTGGAGTCTATTATTTTAGGTTTATCTCCAGGGACATTATTATTATTTCTAGCAAAACTACATTTAATATAATTTTTAGACTCAGTAGTTCATAGTTATTCTTGTTTTTAAACCTTTGTGGTTTTTGTTTCAGAAACATTAACATCAGGCGCATTTTGTTTGATGCATGCAGGAATAATCTAACAGTCTATTAGTAACTCTAACTTCAAAACAGTAAAGAGTGAAAATCCTGCTCCACTGAAGTGAATGGGAGTTTTGCCATTGACTTCAATGGAGCCTGGGTTTCACTCCAAATATTTTACCCATGTTGTTTCTGCACACAGAGAAAACTCCTCACATGCTAGGATGAAAGTTCCAGCAGTATTTCTCCAATGCAAATAAGCCCATCTAAAGATTGTGTTCCTAAAAGTCAGGAAAGGAAGAGCTCAGTACCATGAAGCTTGTCAGGAATCTTCCAGAACAAAGTTTGCCCAAAAATTCCAGTTTAGAAGGTTTGTGGGCATGCAGCAATCCTGTTAACTTTTCTAAGGGAGAACAAACAGGTTTCCAAGGTATCTTGCAGCTTGTCTGCCTTGTGACTGCCACAGTCCTGAGACTCAAAGCTGAGTCCTTTTTGGGTTTCTACTCTGTTTCTGTGGGATCGGATCTGGCAGCCCTCCTGTTCTGGCAGCTTCCTGAATGGCCGCCTGCTCAGCACATCAGCTGTTCCACCTCAAAAGGCTGAAAACAAATTATCTTCCTGACTTTCCAAGTGCTTTAGGATCCCTGATTTTATCCCTTCCAGAAAAGACTAGTGTTTGGTCTAGGGTTGTTAATTAAGAAATACTTCATCTTTCTGATTACCTTCAATTCTTTTTTGTCAAATATGTTGAAAGTGATTTTGTTGGCAAAAAACAAGGGTAGCGCTTACTAATTAAATGTACATTCGTGTCCTTATCTTTATTTTAAACCTGATCTCATGGAAGACGTCTTGCCTAGGACAAATGCTGAGGCTGCCAGTCTTTACTCAGCTTTATTTTGCAGGGGGTTTGAGGCAGATAAAATGTATTCTCTGTAGAATGAATCTATATAAGAATGAATCAGAACTCACACTTCAAGTTATTTACAGGCTTCTTCTGAAATCCATTCAGTTCTTGTAAGTATGGAAATCTACCCATTTTTTAATTATTCCTGTTTTCTTAACAGAAATTCTTTTAAAAGTCATAAGCATAAAGGAATTGAGCCTGAAAGGAATACCTTTATTGGTATAAAGCAAAAAGAGCTTTGCCAGTTTATATTAGCTTGGGATCTGGCCTCAAGGCCCTCCTGGCCTCTCAGTGATGAGTTTCTGGTAGAATGAAACCAGCAACACCTTTGGAGCCTGTTTTAATTGGCAATGCAAAACTTTTCTCAGCATCTACTTTACCTTACAATGACTCACTTGAGAAAATGATTAAATGACCTGCAGGACTAAGGCATACCCTAGCATGCTAACACATTATTTTCTGAAGTTCAAGGGTCTCCAGCTACATCAAAGGGACCAGGTTTTCCTAAACACGTAGTAAATGCAATGCCATGCTGGTTCTTTTCACTAATGAATAGTCCCCTTCCTTTTAACAGAATAAATGGGACAGGCAGTGTGTGTTTGTACTAAACACCAGTGCAAACTGAATTAATAGTTTACATTTCATTTGTGACCATCTAACCTTACCTGCTATTCAGAATTCACGTGGAATTAGAAGCAGGTAATCAGTCTCTTGAAATATTCTGCCTTGGGAAGTTCTATTCCTACATGAACTGATCTTGAACAAAGAGTTGATAAGAAAAGCTTCTAGATTAGAAGTAGCAATGTCAAAATGACACTGCACTGCCCTGAAAACCCACTGCCCTGTGTGCTCCCTGAGACGAAAATGTCCATTTTATTAAAGCCACAAACAGATGCTGCCTGTTACCCTTTACAAAGCCAACAGAGCCATTATGAATGAGCAGGACTCGGTTTCCCTTTGTGTTACTACCACAGTCATTCCTCCATCCTAACCCCTTGCAAAACTTCAGCCTTTCATTTCATCACATTCTCCTCCTGAAGACAATGAGATTTCACAAAGGCAAGCAAGGACAGCTCAGACTGTCAGGTCTTCAACTTCTTTCATTCAATGTTTACTGAGAGTAAGCACACTGGGACTCTGGTTTCACACCCCAGCTTTCCTAATATAAATAATGCATTGCTTACCAGTCAAAGACACCACGGCCTCACTGGAGGAGTCCTGCAGCACATTTACTGTTGCTCATCATGTGTGAGGCCAGAAACAAGCTGACTGACCAGTTTGAGTCCTGACTGTTAACATAATCACAGCAAGGCAAATCTGATCAGGAGTCACAGGGAGGCAGCAGCAACAGATCTCTTTGATGCAGTTTTTCGGAGAGCAAGGCTTTAAAGTAGCTAGCACTGCTATGAATAAAAAATAGCATGCAGTCTCTGAGAGCTCTGGCCTCCCTGAAGCCTGTGCAGCAATCAGAACTGGGTCAGGATGCCAGAATTACACTCTGAGCCTGAGCTGGCCAATTTCTTGTGTAATTCTTCTAAGCTAAACTCAATTACCAGCCTGTTTTCCCACAGCAATGCTGAATGAATGCACTTGCTTTGTTTGTTTGGGTCATTAGTGGAGTTTCTCCTCTAGACAGTTAATGTAACTAAACTGCTCTGTTTACCCTTGGTGTGTTTTCCGGTGTTTCCTGTTATTCTTTACAAGCCTGAGCCAAAGTGCACCAAAGCCTGTGGAAAGCCTCCTACTGCATCCAATGCCCTGCTGCACATGAAGGTTCTCGAGGTCATGTACACAAATCTTCACCAGAACCACTGTGACCCTTAGTAAAAACCCCAAAGCTGAGCTAGAGGATAATGCCAAGGGCTGGGAGAAACTGATTTAGGAGATGCTTAAAATCTGTTCAACAGCTGCAACTCTGGCTGGTAAGAGACCACTGGAGAAATCCTCAGGACTGTTACCATTCACTCTCCCTTAGCAGGGAGAGATATGAAGTTGGGACAAGAGGTAAATTTGATAGAAAATACCAGCAGCAGGAGCACTTTTCTTCAGAAAAAGGGTAGCAACTGAAAGAAAGAAATATGAAGAAGGGAAGCCTGAAAAAAAGACACACAATAGTGGAAATGCCATGAAGTAAGACCACCTCCATCACCTCCCTCTGAAAGTCAAACCATTCCATTTGCCTGCAAATAATTCAGTGTGAGTCAAATGTTGGATCACTTAAGAAACTCGTGGCTATCAAGGCTACCCAAGGTGTCCTGGCTGTCACCCCAGCTGCTTATTAAACATGCATGACAAACAATTGATTTCTCTCCACACAACTGCACTTACCTCAGCCACCACTTCTCCAAATGGCAAGGAGGATGTCCAGCTGACAAGAAGGAAATAATGACAGCGGGCTGTCTCTCACTCCCACAGACAGAAATCCAAAG